GTTGATAAGTTAGTAACCAGGTTGTTAAGTGAATTGGGCTTCCCCATTGACTTTGCTTGTCAGAAAGTCACACCACAGTGATCACATAACCCTAGCAATGGTCATAAGTATGAACCAGTTGCCAAGCATCTGAATTTTGATCACGTGATCACAGGGATGCTTCAAAAGTTGTAACTGTGAAAAAATGGTCATAAGTTACTTTTTTCAGTGCCATTGTAACTTTGAACGGTCACTAAATGAACTGTTGTATGTCTAAGACTACCTGTACTAATCTTCCTTTGATATTCTATATTGCATTTTTAAAAACCCATCCCATGACAATTGTTTCATCTCATCTACCACTCAATTACAAATATATATTGCTTTTCTGTATCCTGTCACATTTATCTTGTGGCATGATGACTTTGAAAGTTTATTCTTGCTTAACCACATGTTTAAAGATACCGCACAGTTATACCTCACTGATAAGTTACATAGACTAGACAGTGATGGCAAACCTATGGCACGGGTGCCAGAGGCGGCACTCAGAGCCCTCTCTGTGGGCACGCGCGCTGTCGCCCCAGTCCTAAGCCTTCAGCTGGGTTTTATAAAACCTTTTCGCTTTAGGCCTCCACTGCCGTGTGCAAAAAAAAAAAAGTTTCAATCAATCAATTTCAACTTCTCACGGGAAAAAAAATCTTGCAAAGTTGGAATTAATTAATTGAACTTTTTAGTCCCACCCAGTCTGCTGTTACCACCACAGCCATGCCCAGCCAATGGGCCATATCCAGCCAATGGGCCACACCCACCTGGCACTCGATGATGTATAAGTGGGTTTTCGGTTGCAGTTTGGGCACTCAGTCTCTAAAAGGTTCACCATCACTAGACTATAAGATCAGTCATTTATTTTCTAAACATTTTAATATTTTCCTTAAAGCAGAATTTGATAGCTAGGCAGGAGTTCATATAATATTCTAGATATAATTAGCCATCAGTTGCTGTTATTATTACAAAGTTGAATCAAAAGGTGAGGTGACTGCATTCATGGCAGATTAATTCACAAAAAAGTGGGCAAAGCAAAAAACAAAGACTAGCTTGTCATTGTTCAGAAGTCAAAATAAGGTTTGTGGTCTGCAGTAAAAGGTGAGAAGTCTGTCTCCTCTTCATATGTATTCCAGTTATCTAAAAATATGCCTATTTACCTCAAGAATTTTAGTAGGCTTAAACCTTGAAAAGGGAAAAAAGATGGGATGGGATGGACGGGATAAGGAGAGGCGAGTGAATCTGACTACATTAATAAGAGTGGCAAAATACCAATAGCTGTTATGCTGCCCTGTTTAGAGTGACTTGGTCTCTATTGTGTAGGAAGTGCCCCTTGGAATTATTGTTAGGCCTTTGTAAGGATTATTCAGACTGTCTGGCAGATGATCACTCAGATTCGCTGCACCTTAGATTGGTGAAGCAGGCCGAGGCACCTTGGACTTGACCTCTGATAAGTTAGGGTCAGTGACTCCTAAGGAGGCGGACAGAGCTCTTTGCTGTCAGCTCAGTCACCTCTTTACTAGATCCAGGTCTCTCCTGGGTCGTGAAAAAAATGAAGGAGATGGCCCGCAGTTAGGTCCATGCTACAATTTCAATCTCTTTGATAGAGGGGATGATGCACCCCTTCCTAAGAGGAAAAATAAGAACAGCATTGAAACAATAATTTTATTAAAAGCAAAGCTAAAAAATTCAGAATATAAATACTGCAGATATAAAAGAAGCACAATTGTTATATAATGCTTTAAAATGTTAACATCAAATCTTAAATAAAAATACCACCCTCTTCCTATTTTTAGCTATTCCTTTCATTATTTGATTTGGGTAGAAGGACTGCTGAGATTAGTTGGAGGGACAACAGATACCCTGCTATTTCAGTGAATTAAATTTCTGGCCTCTGCAATAATGTGTCCGCTTTATCTTGGAGTTTTTGGGGTTGTTTTTTTTTTTTTTAAGATCCCAGAGCAAGAATTGAACTGACCTTTAATCAAAATTAGATACCAAAACTTATAGTTTTGTTTTTATAGCTTCAACATGATTGAATGTATAACTAGATAGAGAGGTACATTGGGCCCCTTTAAGCGATTGACTGTTACAAACTATGAGTCTGGGAATTGTTTTTATTTTAACATCTACCATATTTATTTTCTTTCTCTTCCACTAAACAATTTAAAAAGTCATAAAAATGTTGTTAGGGAGCATGCTCTGACAGGTTAAATACATTTTTAGATTACTTGATGAAAATTATTTTATTTAAAGATTGTAACTAAAATAAGACTAATAGCTATTTTATCCAGTTCAATTTCATGGAGGCAAGGTGTCAAAAACTCAAAATAATGAATTATGATATACAGTATATTATGATAGAAATTAAAAAATGTGCATGCTTTTTAAAAATAAAGGAAGAGAAGACTTTGAAGATGGCAAAAGAACAATAACTTAAAAAGTAAAAAAAAAATTCTGGAGGAAATAAACCTTCCAAAGTGAATGATGTTAAGCTAAGCAACACCTTTTGCAATATTTCCTAGTTTCTAGCTGTATCAAAATGGTGGACTGTTTGAGTCTCTTAGTTATTTAGCACATGCCTTAAAGTGCTGCATCCCAAGAAAATTTGCTTTTGATACTAATACTAATTGTAAGATTACAGTTCCTTTACAAATACAAGCATATTTTATAAAAATTAGCAGGGATTTTATGAGGAAAGGAGTAATGGTAGATCAGTCATAAAAAGAGTGGGCAATCATGTTTTTCCATATTGTAGAATGGCTTCTTGCCTATGACTGCTTTCTTACCAGAAGTAGTTTTCTGGAAAGCTGAGTGAAAGCAGGATAAAAAACATTTATACTTGTGGGAAAGAAAGAAATTCATTCTTTTTTCTTTCTCTGCTTCCTGTTTCCAGCTGAAGTATACATAGGAATTAGAAAACCTGCAGAAGCCACTGCTTGTACTCAGGAAGCTGGTAACCTCTTTGCTATGTCTCACAATGTTCTCTTCATGAGAGGTCAAGTGGCAGAACTTCGGGGAAATACTGATGAAGCCAAGCGCTGGTATGAAGAGGCCTTATCTATTAGCCCTACACATGTCAAAAGTATGCAAAGATTGGTAAGTTGAATTTATGCAGCATAATGTGTAATTTATTGATTAAAACACCAAAGGAATATCATTATCAATCCTATAATTAGAATGTACTCAACAACTGTAAAAATATGTGTGGGATAAATTCTATTAACATGAACTCTTGAGCCATTGGTATTTATTTGACCTGCAATAGTGTTAATAATCACATTTAGAAAAGGGAGAGAAATAGAAGACTTTTTTTTAGATATGGTGATCTATCTTCTTAGTGATATGAAAATAGAGAAAATGTGTGATATTTTTGAAATAAAATAATAATATTCTATAAGCAATGGGCCCAGTGTTGTAAAACTACAGCAACTGGAAATTGTTCATTAATATATTCACTTAGTATTCAGTGTAGAGCAGAACAGAACAGTATTCTATTCCAGTGGCCCCCCAACCTTTTGGGCATCAGAGACTGGTTTTGTGGAGAGAGGTTTTTCCACAGACCAGAGAGGGGTGGTTGCTATTCTATTCTATTCTATTCTATTCTATTCTATTCTATTCTATTCTATTCTATTCTATTCTATTCTATTCTATTCTATTCTATTCTATTCTATTCTGTTCTGTTCATTGGGTATTTATTTTATCATATTGAAATAAATCAACTGAAATCAGAAAAAAATACTAGCATATCAACCAAGGGTTTAATTTCATGTACTGTAAATTGCTGTGATATTCTCTGTGTTGCCCATATTCTATATTTCCCATGTGTTTATAATTTCTTTTAAGAGTACAATATGAGTATGCTTGCTTTACCTTTCCTGCCAGTTCATTTTCATAGTACACCAAAGTAGTTTTCTAGGACATTTTGAGTTCCGAATAAACACTTTATTTAACCCTGTGAAAACCTAGGAGGCCTTACAGTTATTACTTTATTTGCTTACTCAGCACTACTGAAATGGGGCATCACTTATACTCAATGATTTCTTTTCATTGCAAATAGCAAGTTTCTATCTAGCTGTCTGCACTATTATATGCATGCACTTTCTCTTTGCTCGCTGCCTCTGCAGAAGGATTGCCTCTGTGTGCACATACAGAATTAGGAACAGCCTTGAAAAAAGATGCATAAGCTATCCTAAGCTCAGGGCTGCTTTAGTGTTGTAGGAATGCTTTGCCCATGCAAATGCTTTATGAAGTGGTTTTTTTCCAAATGCTTTGCCCAACCCAGTGAAATATGCTATTAACTTCTTTTCTAGCTGGACCTTCAGTGAATGTACAAATATCTTAGATAACAATGTTTTTTTTAAAGTTTCAAAAAATCTCTGATTAAATAAAACAATATTAAAAGAATGTTTAATAATACTTTTTATTTTTCTTTATGTGCGTTGGTTATAAAGCTTAATAGTATCTCATTATATCAGCTTGCCTATGATAGCATCAATTTTGTAGAACAGCGTTTCTCAACCTTGACAACTTAAAGCCGTGTGGATTTTGACTCCTAGAAAGCTGGCTGGGGAATTGTGGCAGTTGAAATCCACACGGCTTAAAGTTAAGGTTGAGAAATACTATTCTAGAATGGGATTTGTTTAAAAAAAACAAATTGGCCATCATTCAGTCTATTTTGATCTTTTGTCTTAGCTTTAAAGGATGTTGAAAGGCCTCTTTTAATAGAATAACAGAATTGGAAGGGGCCTTGGAGGTCTTCTAGTCCAACCCCCTGCTTAGGCAGGAAACCATATACCATTTCAGACAAATGGTTGTCCAATCTCTTCTTATAAACTTCCAGTGTTAGTGCATCCTATCAGGAAATTTCGTATTAGTTCTAGGTTGTTTCTCTCCTTGATTAATTTCCATCCTTTTTTTTTGACTTGCCTTTTGGTGCTTTGAAAAATAGGTTGACAACTTCTTCTGTGTGGCAGCCCCTCAAATTTTGGAACACTGTTATCATGTCACCCTAGTCCTTCTTTTCACCACACTAGGCAAAGATATAAAGACCATATATATAAATATATAATATATATAATTTATAATATTATATAAGATATAATACATAAAATATAAATATAAAATATATAAGATAAAAAGACAAAAACTGAGCTTTACAAAGATATTGAAGAAATTATAAAACATTAATTTTAGAATTTTATAACAGAAAAACTTGTGTTCTTTTTGAACTGTCATCCGAAAATCTTTTGATAATTCTTTTCCCCAATTTGTTAAACACTTTCAAGTTGTTTAGCAGTGTTATAGTTAATGAAACACTATTATGTAAGCATAGAATTAGAAGAACAGTATGAGAACTAGAGTAAGGATTGTATCCCAGATATCATGTCTGTGTTATAATTCACATTCTCTGCTGTGGGAGACAAAAGTACTTCATCACAAAATTATCCTTTGCTAGTTAAGTTAATAATATTAGACTTATTATATGTTGATCTGTCCAATGTAATTTCATTGTGTTAAAAATTCATTTCATAATGCTTATTCAAATTAAACCTGTGGTATATAGAGCTCAATGGAAGAATTATAATTCTCCACTTTAAACTGACTTCTTTATTCAAAATGAAAAGCTTGTTTCCTCAAAGGCTTTTGTAAATTATTCAGAGAGGTTTTTCCTCATACATTCCTGAGGGAACGCATAAGACAAAAAATTACAAAGGAACAGAGAATACAGGGAAGTATTTTTATGTTACCTTTCTGGCTTTTCAAGATAATTGAACACATTGATAAATGCCAAAGGGTGCCTTGTAAAGGAGGTAGGCGTTGTACCCGAAGTAGTACACTTACAATGTCTTTCTTTTCCATTTGAATTCACTTGAAATAAAGGGCCTCTCCATGCTCATTGCATTCCCCCTAGAGGCACTCTGCTGTTCATCAAGGGTAGAAGTTCTTGTTTAACTGGAAATAGACAAGAAAAAAATTCCTTTAAAGCTGAAGGTGCTTCCAGTTTCTTTACTGTAGTATCATAGGATACTTTTTCAGGTGCTGGCCAGACTTTCTATACCACCCATGTTTTTAGATTTTAAAAATAAAAGCAATAGAAGGCTGGCATGCATGAAAACAAAACACCAGTGCCAAATATTATCTGATTTTTAAAAATGAGTCTGAGATAAAGCCCATTAGGATTAGTGGGTCCCATGCTTAGTTTGTAGTCTGTCCAGAAAAATAATAAGGACAGTGATTGGTAAGGAGAGAGTGTTGGGTCACCTTTTAATAAAATAATTATTTTAACATGCTTATATACTCCATGGTAGTTTTTCCCTGAACATTTAAGGTTCTGAACTGCCTTTGTGTAAGACTATATAGAAATTTGTATAGAGCAGTTGGCAAGATGATAGTGGGAATAAAACCAGAACCACCACAGATTTTCTCAAATCTGTGAAATCAGCTTGTTTAAAAAGTATAATCTATCCATTATGTAGATTGTTTCTTGACAATGAAGCAGACTGCTGGGCCCTAAGGACTGAATAGAGTCACCGAACAAAATATATCTTTATGTACTACTATGTGCATCTTCCTGTAATTAAATATCTGGGATAGACAAAGTGATGAGACTTGCTAACTTACAGAATGATAATCAGGGCTGAAGAAGGGGCCTGAAGCCTTTCTTCAACTTCTATCTAACCTTTTTTGTAGAAATGCTTAATGCCTTTAGCAAACCTCTAGAAATGGACAAGAAGTTCTTATATTTCACTTGAGAGGCAGTTTTAGACCCCAGGCTAAAAAGTGGAAGACCATGAGTTCTATCATGCCTTAGACATGGAGTCAGCTGGGTGATCTTGAGCCAGTCCCTCACTTACAGCCCTAGAAAAAAGGCAAACGATCACCAAAACTTTTGTCAAGAAAACTGCAAGGACTAGTCCAGGCAGTCGTCAGGAATCAGCACTGATGCAAAGGCACAAAAGAACCCCCCAAATCTTCACTTAACATGTTTTATTCCACATTCGTTGCTTTCCTAATTTATTAAAATGGATATTAATGTATCTTTCATTCATTGTTTATATAACCAATATCTCCCCTGTAGGTAGTTTCTAGTATAACATTAAGTAGAATATTTTATTGTGGTCTGTGGTGAATAATATCATATTTTTCTTTTTATTTGAATAAACTTATCCTTTTCACTGAAAACATGCTTTGGGATTCCTGGGCTGCTGTCTCCTTAGGATTAATCTGGGGGAGGAGGAGAAGGTATACTCCTTCTGCAGCAGTAATTAAAAGTGATTATTTTAATTGATAATAAATTGAATAAATACACTTGGGCAAAAATGTATCTTCAAACAGGTTGAAGTTCCTTGCTCTTGTTTTCACTTGGCTGCCCCAATAATTTTTAAAAACCTGTGAATTACTAACTTACTCAATAATTTGTTGGGCTCCTCATTTCATGTGCTTGATTTAACAAATAGAAATCTTCAAAGTATGTTACCAAATTTACCAAATTCGTACATTTATTAATGACTCAGAAATAAAATTTTCAGTGTTGCAACAAAGTATTGAAATCACTTCACTAATGTAGACAAAGTCATTGTTTTATTTTACCATAAGTATAAATATAAAAATGTTTGGCTTAGGATTCCATATCTTAGAAGGACAGATTACTGGTGGTGATGGAAAACAACAAATATAGGGATTTAATTTGCTAAGTCAGTGGTGCTCTTGGGAAATACTGAATAGAACATGGGAGATTTTATGCAACTGAAAAATAATTTTGTTTTGGCAGTAGCACAGGATTTAATAAACAGTTTCAGAGCAACTTTAGATAAAAGGAAGAAATGGATGTAATATAAATTGTCCAGAATTTAATTAACCACATCTCTTGATTGATTAGGGATATTTGTCAATTTTTAGCAGACATAGTCTGTTTTTACCACATTTTTAACTTCACTGCACTTAGTATTTATGACTTCTGTTATAAAGAGACATTTTCATTATCCTTCCCCACTTTCCCAATCCCTCTTTCCTAACTAACTGGTTTATATGGGAAGAAGAGCAAGGGTGAAGCGTACACAAGATCAGTTTCATCTTATTAATATCTGAGACAATATTCTTAGTCTGCTGAAAAATAACTGAACAACTGCAACCCAACAGAGTTTCTTGTATTGACCATCCAAGTCAATAGACATCGGGACCAAATCTAAAGCCTTTTGACTGAGAATAGCATAGTAACAATTTTCAGTTGTGCATGCCATCCTGTTGAAAATTAGTCCTCAATTTACAACCACAATTGAGCCCAAAATTTCTGTACTAAGTAAGACAGTTGTTAAGAGAGTTTTGCTCAGTTTTATAACAGTTGTTAAGTGACTCACTGCAATTGTTAAGTTAGTAACATAGTTGTTAAGTGAATCTGGATTGTCCATTGATTTTGCTTGTCAGAAAGTGGCAAAAGGTAATCACATGACCATGGGACACTGCAACCGTAATAAATACATGCCAGTTGCCAAATGCCCAAGTTTTGATCATGTGACAGTTGAGATGCTGTAATGGTCATAAGTTTGGAAAATCATCATAAATCATCTTTTTTGGTGCTGTTATAACTTTGAATGGTTGTAAGTCAAGGACTACCTCTATAAATTTAGCTTAGCTTTCATCTCTGGTTTTTGTCTGTTTTCTGTGAATATATACATGCATAAATCACTCAAATCTTTAACATTCCAAAGTAAATGAAGATACAGTTTATCATATTTGCCTGATAAGATTCTGATTCTCTAAATAATGCATGATTCAGTTCTTATTTTTTTTTTATTGAAGATTTTTTAAATTTTACAAAAACAAATCCCCTTCCCATACCCTACCCCACCCCCCCTCCCCCAACCTCCCAAACCCTCCCCTAGACTTCCCAGAGCTGAGTACAGGCTTAATTGAAAAAAAAACTTATAACACTTTTGAAACCTAAACAAATTTAAATACAATGGTCATTCTATATAAACTCCCTCCAAAAAAAAAAAAAACACAAATTAAAACATTACTTTCTTTGAATATCTATACCTATAATATAAAATCTAATTTCTCCCTCTTTCTTTTATCCTAAAACAAAAAAATAAACATATACATATAAACCTTTGCTGTATCATTAAAACTAAATACTCTTAAAAAAACTTAAAATAAACACATATTTCCTTCAATCTTCATATTCTTCTCTCCTATCCAAGAAAAAAAGAAAAAAAAGGAAACTTAAAAAATATATAAGTCCTAAACAAATCTAGACACATTTAGTTAAACAAATTATTTTCTCTTAAAAATATTATTAATAATGTTTAAAAAAACAAATTTAAACCCTTCAAAACACAAATTTAAAGATTACTTAAAGTTTGAAATATTAGAATCCCCTCACTAAAATAAACAAATTATAATCCCTTCAAAACACAGGTTTAGTTAAACAAATTATTTTCTCTTAAAGATATCAATAATTATATTTAAAGAGACAGATTTAAACCCTTCAGAACACAAATTTAAACATTACTTAAAATTTAAAACATTAGAAACCCCTCACTAAGATAAACAAGTTATAATCCCTTCAAAACACAAGTTTAAACAAAATTATCATTAAAAATTTAAAACTTAAAACAATAAGATTTCCTTATACGCCTATCCACAATAAACACATTAAACATTTCAATCTTCACCAATAACAAATTCCGTCCGTAAGGAAGTCCGTCCTTATCAGTCTCAATTATCTTGGTATTATTATTATCAGTCTCACTTACTCATTTCCTTTCTCCATTCCTTTCTCCATCCTTCCATATCCGTTCTCCACTCTTGTATCATACTTGTAACAAATGCTGAAAATTCTACCTTAGGAGATTGCTCCAAAATTCCTGAATCTCCCATCAACTCCGGAGCCAATACATGTAAGGGTTCCTTGAACTCCTCCTTATGTTGATCTTTACAATTATAAGTTGTACAAGTTATCCTCTGCCCGTTCCTCTCTTGTTGATGCCCCTCAAACTGGGATTTCCCAATTTCCCTTTCAGGCAGCAATTCCACCCTTGAAGATTGCTCCAACGACTTTATAGGTCTAACTTCTCCCAAAGATTCAGAGGCCACTGAATATGAAATGTCCTTGACCTTCTTCTGTTGCTGCTTTTCTTTACAAATATATGCTGCACGAGTTATCTTCTGCTCCTCAACCTGGACTTGTTGGGGCCTCTCAAGCAAAGATTCCCCAGTTTTCATAAATATAGGCCCTTCAAACTGTAATTCTACATTCTTTTCTTCCAAAGCTTTAAGCTTGATAGAAGGCGATGCACATACCCCGAAGTATAAAAATCTTTTGCTTGAGAAACAGTATTAAGTCTATAACATGTCCCCAGGTAATTCACCACCATGCCAGTCGGGACATCCCATCTGAATAGAATTTTTCTCTTTTTAAGTTCATTTGCTAAAAAAGCAAACTCCTTTCTTCTTCTTAAAATTTTAGATGGGATCTCCTTAAAAATTATAACATCTTGTGAAGCAATTTGAAATCTCTTCTTATAATAGGCTTGCACAATTTCATTGCGTAAAGATCTTTTACCAAAGTAAATTACCACATCTCTTGGCAGATTCTTCTGTGCTGCCACCACAGAGTTAACCCTAAATAATTTTTCAATTTCACTAAGTATTCCCTCTTTTTCTTTATTCAAAATCAATGCAAAGTCCTTTGCAACCATCTCTTTCAGATCTCCTTGCAAAGACTCTCCCAGGCCCCTAATTCTTAAGGCATATTCCATTTGTCCATATTGAAGCATAAGAATCTCATTTTCCATTTCTTTTTCCATACTTTCAATTTTCCCCTCCATTATCTCCACTTTTTCAGCTACCTCTTCCAGATGGGAGTTGACCTTTTCAAGAACAGAAGCAACTCCTTTTAAAGCCAGAACAAAGTCTTGTCTCAAAATCTTGTTATTTTCCTCTAAAGTCTT